GGAATATTGAGTGATTTCAAATTAATGTAATCACGTAATTTTTTTAATAGCACTTCCTGTCAAAGTGCACTTTCTCTTTCCTTTTTGAAAAATGTGAACTGCCAGCCACAAGACATTTGAGGAGAGATGACAAAAAGTTTCTTCCACTGATCATATATCAAAATGTAACTGGTTCTCCCGTTGCTTCGACCAATTACGTCAAGTATTGAGCTCCAGCGTTTAAACTTTATTTTTTTAAAAAAGGGAGCTCCGATTGTAAAGTAAAATAAATCAATACATACAAAATTTTAAAATGGATTACAAATGTTTACTACAAATGTTTACTGTTTTTGCTGGGAAAGGGAGTTCTAAACATTGCTTTCCTGCTACGTAAGCAGACACAAAGCATTGTGGGAAATGTCTGTAAAATATGGATCCCTGCTGGCTACTGAATATTGTCTTATGCACTGTGTTTAGCTGACCTACTAAAATGAGAACCGACTGAACTGTGACCCAACGCGACAGTCAGGAAGGACGTATACCTTCCCAAACATAATGTTTAGCTAGGGGGTGTTGTAGGTTGGATCACATGTGTTGTGAGTCCTGACAGTCATGCCTTCTGTTGTTCAAGATAATGATGATCGGTAGATAATTAGTTATTAGCAGAACTGCAGTTTAAATTTAAAAAGAGTAAATCCGCTTATGAATTACAAAAATTAGTAAGACCGCTAAAGCACAAACAAAATATTGCATTTAGGTCCACAATTAGCAAATTTGCGCTTTGGCGGACTGGTGCCCACCACTGCTATTTACACATTGAGAAGTTTATTGTTTTTAATTCCACGCAATATTTTTGTGTAGGTTTTAAATACTTATGAACTGTTTTCTATTCAAATCTATTTATATCAAATGAATAACTATTAAGAGTTGCATTTAATTACTATTTAATCAATTCCAAACATTGTAAGATTTAATTAATAATATTGCTTGTAATCTGTTCCCTCATTTTTATTGAGTAGATATGGTGTATTTTTTCTTACAGTGTGAGGTCCATTGATTCCTCAGTATTTTCTGTAATTAAAGCTGAAAAGGATAAGCTGGATGTGTTTTTATCTTAAGCAGAGAGTAGACATGTTAAGTTAAAAGCTGCAGATTTTATGCCTTTAGGTAACAGGATGACCTGACATGTTGCCTCCACAAGTTTTCATCAATAACATTGGACATCAATAACAACAATGTCCTGACAAACACAGAGACGTACTGCGTTACCTAAATAATTAAAAAAAAAAGCTGTTTGTGGTTTTGTTTTGCAGCTTGTTAATACAAAATCTGTATTTGAATTCACACAGTGGCACAGTTAGTAGGGCTGTTGCTTCTCAGCAAGAAGTTTGCTGGATGGAATCCCAGCCTGGAGCCTTTCTGGGTGGAGTTTATATGTTCTATCCATGTGAGTTTTCTCTAGGTGCTCTGGTTTCTTTCCCACAGACCAAAACTGTGCACGATAGGCTGACTGGTGACTCTAAATTGTCCCTACGTGAGTGAGAGAGTCAATGGTTGTTTGTCTCTATAGCTCTTCCTCCACGGGCGTGACTTTAAGCGGTTCTCATCGATTCGGGCTCGGCCAAATGTGTCACCATTTCCAGTTCCTGCACGGTTTTTGGACTCACCACAGCAGTGATTCCAGGTGGGTCAAACCCAGTATTGGGCACAAGCGAATCTGGGGTCAGCAGACTGTTGTCTGTATATTGACTGAACAAAGGATATAACCTTGTCTGCTCAGAAAATGTAAAATATAATTTTATTGTTTGCATATAAAAAAGTCCATTTGAGAAATTAGTCTGTTTTTGATTCTTTTCCCCCTTTCCCAACAAAAGTTTGTTATTGTAATTGTATTCCGTTTATAATTTTTTATTATTTTGATGAAGAGATGCAGGTTGAACATGACTAATGAAAAGTAATGGAATAGATAATCTTAAAGTAAACATTTACTATTTGGTGGTATAACCCTTGTTTACAATGACTGTCTCAAGCCTGTGACCCATCAACACCAAACTGTTTTATTCTTCATTTGTGATACTGTTCCAGGCTTTTACTGCAGCTTCTTTCGGTTCTTGTTTGTTTCAGGGGGTTTCTCCCTTTAGTCTCCTCTTCAGGAGGTGAAATGCTCTGTTGGGTTCAGGTCAGGGGATTGACTTGGCCAATCTAAACCCTGATGAAGTCCTTTGTTTTGTTGCTTTGGATCATTTTCCTGCTACATGATAAAATACCTCAAGATTAGTTTGGATGCATTCCTCTGTAAAATGCTAGACAAAATGTTTCTGTACACTTCAGAATTCATTCTGCTGCTGTATCATCAGTTCCATCATCAATAAATATTAATGAGCCTGTTCCAGAAGCAGCCATGACACTACCTGCACCGTGCTTCACTGATGAGCTTGTGTGCTTCTGATAGCAGTTCCTTTCTTTCTTCACACTTTGGTCCTTTTATCACTTTGGTGGAGAATAATCTTGGTCTCTTCAGTCCATAAGATTGTCTTCCAGAACTTTTGCAGCTCATCTCTGTACTTTTTTTTTTTTTTTTTTTTTTTTTTTTTTTTTACAAATTTCCATCTGCCCTTCTGATTCCTATAACTGATGAGTGATTTGTATTGTTGGGTATGGCCTCTTTATTTCTGCTCTGAGTCTTCTTCAAACAGTGGACTGTGATACTTTCACCCCTGCACTGTGGCTATTAATGTTTTGGGGTTTCTTCACAGCTCTGTCATCAACATCTGTTGTTTTCCTTGGCCGACCTGTTGGATGTCTCTTGCACACCGTTTTCTTATTAGGACTTTCCAAATTGTTGTGGTTGCTCTGCCCAATGTTTGTCCAATGGCTCTGATTGATTTTCCTTCTTCTCTCAGCTTCAAAATGGCTTGTTTTTCTCCCAGAGACACTTCTCTGGCATTCATGTTGGTTTATCCTCTTTTATAAAAAATATCTACTTTATAGGTTTAAACCCAGGCAAAAAGGTTGACTAGTCAGTCAAGCACAGCTATTAAATGTTTGAACATCAACCTCAAAGGTAACACCTGGTCAATAAGAAACACCTGTGAAGTCACATGTTCTAATAGTCACACTCACTTGAAAAATGGATGGATTCAGACAAAGCATGGTATATTCTGAGTTGTTTAACACATCTACATGTAAATACCAGGAAATAAAAGCTGACATTCAGAAATCTTGTCTCATGCTCATCTTTAGATTTTAAACCCAAATGTCTTCAGTGAACAACAAAAACAAGTGAACTTAACTTGCTGTTCCAATACTTTTGGAGGGGTGTGTACTTTGCACAAAAGGTAAGTAAATTTGTGTTTGGTAGATTATTTCTTTGTTGTGACAATTTTTCTTGACAATAAATCTTATAGCAGCACCTGACTGGCAGCACCTGGGGGTACCAGAAGCTTAAGACAAGTGTCAATAACAACAACAAATCAAGGTGGAACTCAACGCCAAAGCGTTGACTGGTATGCCTCCGCCTGCCCCAGACATGTCTGACTTTGAAAAAAATGCCAGTTTTTTATTACCAGTCATCATAAATTACATTGACCTTTGACCCTTTGATGCCCAAATCTAATCAGATTAAGTACTACCCTAATGGAGTTATTATACCTATTTATAAGTAAATATATAATTTCATTCAGGAGGCATCGTGTGCACAAGACACCTTGTGATGGACGGACACCACACTAACACACAGAGAAAATTATGCTCTGACCCCAGTAAGCTGTTTGGCAGAGATATTTTTGGCAAATTTTCCATGAGCACAACCCACATACTCAGCTCTATTGCTCATCCCACATGCATGTTCCTTACAAATGTGGCACTATTTAAAAAAGAAATGAACAGACTTTCCAACAGTATATTGCCAAGAAGCATTGGGCCTCATGCAAGAACATGGTCGTATTCTTATCCTAAATTTCTCTTACTTTTGTTCGTACAAAGGGTTCGTACGAACATGTCACGTCAGATTCAACAAACTCTTCTATCTTCAGGAAAAG